AGAGATAGGTGGCGGTAATGCACTTATAAGTCTGCGATCCGCCGTAAAGCAAGAAGAAGAAGACGCCTCACGGGTCGGCTGTCGAGAACGCGCTCAGGACAGTTGGACATTGCAGTGGATCATAGGTAAAAAACGATATAAATACTGTTCAGTTTCTTGCACAGACCGATCGTTTCGTGTCTTTTCACATCAATTTATAGTCACGAGCCGCAGGGTTTAATCTGGTTTTGTTTGTGTATGTTTTTTTGACTCTCAAAGCCACGATTCCCATTCACTTCCATTATTAGACTGATAGACTGCAATGGTTTGAGTTAAAAATCTTTGTTTGTGTTCTACTGAAGAAACAAAGTCACCTACATCTTGGGTACCCTGCGGGTAAGCAGATAAACATCAAATTTTCATTTTTGGGTGAACTATCCCTTTAACTAACGCACAGCTGTTAACATACAGGTTTTGATGACCCAGTACCTTACAGGTAAATTCAATGCTATCTCTAAATACATTTAGGCAGCTCGGTTGTAAAACTGGCTTTTAAAGCACATGCCAGATAAAAGGTGAAGATGGTTCAGCTCACATTCACAGTAATGAATCGGCAGAGGAATTGGTCATGATATTTACGTCTTGATCAGCTTACATTGTAATAATTAATTATATATTTTTTGTATTTATATATTAATTGGAGTTTTCATCAGTTGCATTGGTTTAAACGTTATAGAGGAAGGTACATGAAAACCAGCTGTTTCATTTACGTCTTTAGGGTTGCTGCCTTTTTGGTGACCTTTAAGGGAAAGTGATGCCAGGGACTGCCTTTGAGCATAGAGAGTTTAGTTTCCTGTCTGGACTTGTTCTTGTTTGCCCTTCCTTTCCATGCTTGAATTGTTTTTAGTGTGCAAGTCACATGGTAGAAGTTATCAGCCAGTATGGCTCCCTGCATAATTACATTGCCAAATCTGCACTGGTCTTGCCATTGTCTCCATGTAAATTAAGCACTGTTATTTGAAAGACACGTGCTTTCAAATTCTTTCCCATTGAAGTATATTCAGAAGTGTATTTGCATCTGCAGAGCAAAGCGTGGGTTATTTTTCTCCAGGTTAATTGGTCAGTTTAGCTCAGTAATGTAATTAGTGTGCAAACACATGCTCTCCACCCACAAGAACAGTTCAACTGCTCTAGCTTCTTGTGGTAAAGACATAGACCAAACACTTTAATGGACTTCCTGTGTCACAAAGTAGTTAGAACACATCTGTCTCAAGTGCTTGCGCTTTTAAATGGACAATAAAAGCATGAAACGCTATCACTCCACAATCTGTGCATTTCAAAGCTGAAAGGTCAGAACCTGTTAAAGCAGATCCATATAAAACATGGCTGAGTAATTGTGCTGGTGATTATTTCTGCGCTAATTACCCAGAAACCTGTGTTGAATATGTTGTGAGACAAATAAATGCATACTGACATTGATATTTTTGGTGTCTGTTTTTATGTTTTATCCACTTCCATTTAGGTGTTTGAATTATCTGCAAAATAATGTTTTTGTTGCATACAGGTGCATCTCAATAAATTAGAATGTCATGGAAAAATTCATTTCAGTAATTCCATTTTCCATGAGGTAAAGTTTTTTGAGGTTCAAATAGGAGTTTAAACTTATATGAATACTTATTTGAATGTAGTTTAATTCTCTTTATTTTTGTTATGGTACACCACCTTTCAAAATTTTATTTTATTTATTTTTAATTTTATTTTTTTTGAAAGAAGTTTTTTTTTTTCTCAGCAAAGATGCATTAATTTGATCAACGTGATATTTCACTGCTGGTCATATATTCCCTATATAACCATGTATGTGACAAATAAAAAATCTTGAAATCTTGAACAGTGATTGTAAAGGCTTTAAATATATATATTTTTTAAATAAATGCTGTTTATTTGAACTATATTTAAAAATGTATCATGGTTTGCACATTTAAGTAGCACAACTGTTTTCAACATTGATAATACAAAAAATGCAAATCAGCATATTAGAATGATTTCTAAATATCGTAAGACTGAAAACTGGTGTAATGGCAGTGTTGCATCACAGGAATAAATAACATTTTTAAATAGAAAAGAGTTATTTTAAATTTTAATAACATTTTATACGTTTAGAGTTTTTACCGTAATTTTGATCAATTAAAGGGGTCATATGATGCGTTTTCAATTTTTCCTTTCTCTTTGGAGTGTTACAAGCTCTTGGTGCATAAAGAAGCCGCTCACTCTAACCCTCCGGCCGTTCCTCACACTAGCCGCCGGCCTCTGCTCACTGTAGGCCGCCGTGTGTGACGCTGTTTCGTTGTGAAAGCGAAACTACTTTGTTTGGCCTTCC